AACACATGCAACTTGAATTGAAAATAATGACATAATAAAGATGTTGATGTTCCACACTATTTCAAATAAAAGGTTAGGAAGGAATCTCTCATCAAGAGTGCATATATGTATATTTTGGATATAGTGATATTGGAAAGAGTGATAACAACTACTGAACTTGAGAAACCTATTTTCTTGAAAAAATTATTTTAGTAAGGTTTTATAAATTTCAAAAGTAGCACTGGCTGCTCAAGTCAATAAATGCCGAATGTTTCCTTATAAGGAAATAGCTAATATTATCATGACTATTAGCGATAACTGTTGATTGGATACATTTAGTAAACTGTTGAAAATTGGGATATTTTATATTCTTGCTTTTCACAATAAATACTGATTTATAGCAATCATTACACCAAATTGTAATTAGTTAAAATTTAGTCAGAAATAACAAATTAACCTATGTGAGTAACTTCATCTGGTAGTCATTATGTTTAAATATAAAAATAAGACTTTTTTTTCTAGAATATATTTGGAAGCTTAGCTCTAGCATAAGACAAGATTAAGTTCACCAACAACTGCTTGCAAGATGGTAACAGTCACTCTCTGCTAGGTGCTGAAAGAATATTCTCATTATGAATAAATCTGAACTTTCACATATCTCTTTTTTTCACTTGCGTGATCCAAAATAGTTTCCACAAGGTTTATATATATATATATATATATATATATATATATATATATATATATATAAAATATATATACATATGCAAAATATATAAATATATACAAAATATTTAAATAAAATACATATATATTTTTATAATAAAATATATATATATATATATATATATAAGCAAATATATGGATATAGATCCGACAGTATGAAGAAAAATATACTGAAAAAACAAACAAAAAATCCTAATATGCAATTATGCTGTTTTAATGTTTAATGTCAACGTTGGACATTTCGGTCTAGTAGACCATCTTCAGGACATATTCATAAAACATAATTAATATAGACCATATACAATTCAACATGAAAAAGACGATGGACATAAAAGCAATACCAATCCAAACAGATAACTGAAATCTTTTATAAGATCAGCGTTCCATTTAAATATGATCACGTCGTCGTCACGTGGGCGATGTTGTGAAAATAGGAATACGTTTTGTTGAAATCGGTTGAAAAATCTAGGAAATCCGATCCTATATATAAATGAACACACACACACACACACACACACAAACAACCTGGGTTTTATAATAAGTATAACTCGATATGAGTTGTCCCTCTTTCATTTTCGCAATGCCTCTTAATCGTGTTTTCAAATTGATTTTGTGCAAAAACAATTGTGTTTTTCCAATTTTTGGCACTGTCAGAACCACTGCAAGGTAATTTTACGTAGTCCTGTGAAGTTTTGTTGAAATCGGTTGAAAAATGTAGGAAATCCGATCCAATATATAAATGTACAGACACACACACAACCTGGGTTTTATAATAAGTATTATATGTTTGGAATCTAGCCTTATACTTACAAAGGTGGCATTACATATACATATGTTATAAATTAATCAAGTATGGTAATATGAGATTATATGTGTGTAGATATATAAAAAATGTTATTAATGCTGGATTCCATGAATATTAATAAGTGTTACATATATTAATATCCATAAAATCTATTTTGAAATTCTGTTCTCGTGTTCAGCAAGTTAGGCTTATTTATGTGTTTTACTATAAGCTTCTCCAACAAACACACACACACATATATTTTTCAGATAGTTTGTATCTGTAAAGGAACAAAATGAAGAAAAAGATGAAGAAAAACTATTCTTAGCCAACATGATTTGTCCTCTAAGAGACATTATTAAGGTAAATGTAGGATTTATTTTATTGCATGTGTCTGTATACAAGAGCAAGGATGTCCTTATCAAGGCTTTTAAATTTGAGAATATTCATGAATATTCATCAGGTGGTTTCTCCACTTTATACTCACTCCTTAGCTTTTTCAAACAATACATCAATGATACAAGCAGTCAATTCCTGATAATCACTGAAGATTAGAAGGATGGTTCCATTTACAAATCTCTGGAGTTGGGATGCTGAAGGTAACATCAATCAGCTAAGTGACAAACTTTTACTTATATATATAAGGTAATGAAGGGTTTGGTAATCCATGTGGATAATTCCAAAGAGGATGTAATCCAGAGAGTTCAATATAACAACAGACCAAATATTAATTAAATAATTAAGAAAGAGACAACCTTAAGATTCCATGACTATAATTCATTTCCCCAGAGAATATATTTTTCCTGGTTCATTAGGTCACATCTCTAGTTACAAATGAATTTGATTTCTTGGTTGACCAGGAAGTCCTAACTTGCTTACGAAGCAGAAAATAAACACCAAAATTTTAGGGAGCTACAGCAACATTAGGTTAGATTAGTCAGAAAGCCTTTACTCATTTGACTACTAGCCTCTGTATGCTGCAGTTGTTTGTTACTCCTTGACAGTTTATTCCTCTTTATGTAGGCCCCAACTGACAAAAATGAGTTTGGAAGAAAGTGAAATTAGTTTTGATTCTCTACTGTTACAAGCAAAGACTTTCTACAAGAGCTGCTATGAAGGAAGTTTTCAATACTGAAGGGGAAGGCACAGTCAGTCAGACAATGGTCTTGAGGTGGTACAGACATTTCAACTCTGGGGATCTTACCCTTGATGATCAAACACATTCCAGTCGACCATCAACCTTTGACAGCAAGGATTTAGTGGCAGCATTGAAAGTTGAATCTTCTGCAAGCATTTGTGATCTTCAAAAGTTGTGTCATCCCATCAGGCTTAACTGTTTGTGTTGACCTAATTTGGTATCCTGATTTCAGATTTAACATTAGTATGTCATTTGAGGAAGTAGGACAGACATAAAATGTAGTTCTGTGTGAATTGGAAGCAATCTTGTCTGGCCCTTTCAATGGCTAAAATTCCAATGCAGATATATTTTATTCAACAAATTGTTTGTAAATAATATTAAACAAGTGTTTAATTAAGAACATTTTTAAAAACAGTTACGTCCAAAAGTGAAATCCTAGGTCCTAAAAGTAAACTCCCACTACCCTTATTTTGAGCTTAAACTGGCATCTCTATGTCTTCTTCCACTCTCTAAATAAGATAGCAATATTTCTTGATCTTAACCCAGAATATTTTTTTCCATTTTATTTGTGATTTTGTTTGTAAGTCATGAAGATTGAGCGCTGCTTCTTTAGAGCTCTCATGAAATAAAAATTATTACCTATGGGATTTTAAGTGTTTGATATTCTTTAACTAATAATAATTTTGCTCTGTCTTCAGCAAAGTCTTTCAAGCTTTAATCAATGCTAAAGTGGTGAAGCACCTTATGTCCCATAATCTGCTCTCTGACAAGCAATATGGTTTCCACTTTGCCTGTTCTACAGCTGATGTGCTCATGGCCATAACTGAAATTGTTTACCAAGCACTTCACAATAACAGAGAAGCTTGTGCTGTGGCTCTAGATATCTCTAAAGCATTTGATAGGGTTTGGCATGCTGGTCTCCTTCATAAGCTTCAGGGTTATGGAATTTCAGGTTGATTATTTGACTTACTATGATCATTCCTGTCAAACTGGGTAATGAAGGTCATCCTTAATGGATTCTCCTCCAGTTCCTATCCTACAAATGCAGGTGTTCCCCAAGGCTCTATCCTTGGCCCTACTCTGTTCCTTATCTTCATTAACAATCTTCCTGATGTCATCAGTTCCCAAGTAGGCATCTATGCAGACGACACTACTATTTACTCCTGCCTCAAAAGCAAATCTGGTATCACTGACAAAACTAATCTGGCCGTTTGTCTTGAAAAGGACCTCCAATCGGTTGTGGACTGGGGCAGGAATTAGCTGGTTCCTTCAATGCCTCAAGAACAGAACTGCTCTCTTTTATCCACCACAGAGAACCCTCTCTGCCTCCCATTAGAATATCTGATGCTCAACTCCATGAGAGCACCTCTTTGCGACTGCTTGGTCTCATAGTGTCCGCTGACCTGAGATGGAACAAAAACATTGAGTCAACAGCTTCTTCCACCGCAAGGAAAGTTGGTTCTCTGTGTCGCACCAGAAAGTTTTTCTCATCTGAGTCCATCCTTCAAATCTATAAATCAACCATCTGCCCTTGCATGGAATACTGCTGCCATATATAGTCTGGAGTCCCCGCTGTTTGTCTTAAGGACTTTGCATATCCGTCTCTGGATTTTGTCGATGTAATTGGCCCTGATCTGGCATCTCGTCTACAGTCGCTCTCTCACAGATGTATTGTTGCCTCCCTCTGTCTTTTCTACAAATACTTTCATGGTAACTGCTCTGATGAGCTACTTTTGCTAGTTCCCAGACTGCATGAATATAAATGTGTTACTAGGCTAGCATCTCGATCCCATCTTTTCACTGTTGAAACAGTTAAATGTCGCCGTCTCTTCTACTCCAATAGCTTCATGTCTCACACCTCTTGTCTGTGGAATTCCCTTCCTATTACTTGTTTTCCTGATAGCTATAATCTCCAACTATTCAAATGTAATGTCAATCGACATCTCCAGTTGCCTTGATCTATTCCCCGTCCTTCTCTTCATCCTTTCCTCTATCATGCCTCTTTACTCTTGCTTCCACTCTCTGTAATCACTTGCGTGCTAGGGCTTCCCGCCTTTCTTGGGGTGAAATGCTTAAAAAAAATTATTTTTCTTAATAAGAGTAAGAAACACTGGCTGTAATGAAATTGGAGAGGTACAATTTATAGGGTTTGATTACCAAACATGGGGTGCGTATTATGCATGAGTACAAGCAGTTTCCCACACTTTCAGTACCATTTTAGGGGTGCGTATTATGGATGAAGGCGTATTATACATGGGAAATTACATTAAATTAATTCAAATTTAAAGATCAATTAATTAACTTTGTATACAAAAATTTATATATCCTTTTTCCCATGCTGTTGACATGGAAAAATATCAAATAATAAAAGCCTATGGCTATATCATGTTGAAACACTGGTTCTCGTATGCTCACTTAAGTTAAGCAACATTAAGCTTGGTCAGTACCTTGATGGGTGACTTCTTGGGAATAGCAAGTAAGCTTGGATGTGTGGGTGGTGTAATGGATAATGAATTCAGAGAACTGAATTCCAATTTCAATCAGGTTCATTACACACAAATACCCTTGAGAAAGGTATGAATCCATCTCTTCTCCCCCTAGCTATGGGTTAATTAGTATGACTGGTATTAGTAAATCATTATTATCACCAAAAAATTCTTACAATCAAAAATATTTTCTGGCTCTAAGTAACCTGCAAAGGGTTGATAAGATGTAAAAAACAAATCAGTTAATTAAATACTAAAAAAAACTTTTAATATTGACCAATTTATTTAAAAGTTGAGATGCAATGAGAAAAAAGTAACACATAAGATATTAAGAACATCTCACTATATTTTCCAAACATCTGATTTTTTAAAGGCATTTACTTAAGTGTACAAGATATACCAAAAAGGATATAGTTACAAAAAATGATTTTTTAAGTCTCTACTGAAATTAACTTTTAAAAAAGCTAAAAATTCTGAACTCAAACACTGTGAAAAGAACGTTATATCAAAATCTTAAATGGTTTATTTACAACAGACAATGAAAAATATATAAACAACGATTGAATAAAAAATTTATAATAGAATATCTATCAGATATAAAGCTATCCATTATGGAACTGTGATGAGATTGTCCAGCATTCATTGTGATATAGATGGATTAATATGGATTAATATTAATTAAAATATGTCCCCCAAAAAAGAGAACCGGAAATCCCATAAGAAATTTATTACTTGTGGGCACAATCTTAACAGCATAAGATAAACAGATGATGGTAAACACAGAAATTAAATTCCAGGAACTCTAAGAGGAAGTAGTGAAGGAAAGCAGGAAGAAAGGACTAACCATCAGTTGTAAGAAGACAGAATACTTATTTTGAAGTCTGTATAAGGGTTTTCAAAATTGAAATGTGCATTACTGTTTTATGACATCTCTTTTCATCTGGGATTAAAATGCTCAGTATTCACTGCTATATAGAAAGACTGATATTACATAACATATGTCTCCCCACCAAAAGAAAGGGGAAACAATAAATTCATTTAAGGGTGACTTCCTCAGTATTAAATGAAAATAAAGATATTTTCCAAAAAGTGTACAAGATACACAAAAAAAGGGTATAGTTATAAAAATACTACAATGAGTCTCAAAAGATTCATTATTGGTGGCCACAATCTTAACAACATAAAATATGCAGATGACACAGTGTTGATAGCAGACACAGAAAGAAAATTACAGGAACTCCTACAGAAAGTAGTGACAGAAAACAAGAAGAAAAGACTAAACATCAACTGCAAGAAGATAGAACGCATAGTTGCTAGCAAAAGGATGAGCCCCAAGTGTAAATTTCAAATCAAATGATGGGCATTTTAAAGTCACCAAGCATGAATATGTTTGCAAACAGGATGATAAAAATATGCTTTTAATCCATAGATATAGCATACCTTAAATAGGGGATAGAGCGTATATAAATATAAAAGTATGACATTGAATTTAACACCCAGTGGCAACTGTCCTAGATGAAGCAGTAAAGGAAAGCAGGAAGAAAGGACTAACTATCAATTGTGAGAAGACAGAATAGTTATTTTGAAGTCTGTAGGGGGGGATTTCCAAATGTGAAATGTCCATTACTGTTGTATGACGTCTCTTTTTCATCTGTGACCAGATTGTCCAACATTCACTGCCATATAGAAAGACTGATATTATATAATATATATACCCCCCCACCAAAAGAAAGGAGAAACAATAAATTCATCTAAAGTTGACTTCCTCAGTAGTAAATGAAAATCCAGATGTTTTGCAAAAAGCATACAAGATACACAAAAAAAAGGGATATCATTTCAAAAATACTGCAATGATTGGTAGAGGTGACAACATGCAATGCATAGAACAAATAAAATAGAAACAGTTTAAAGAACATATTGGCCAAGATAAACAATTTGTATGCTTAATTAGATAAAGAAAGTTTTTCTTTAAAAAGAAACAGAGAAATAGGCAGACGGTATGGATACCAGTAGTTCTTAATCTTACTGAAGTGCACTGAGGAAAAAGAAACTCCATGATGCACAACACTTAAGATATTAAGAAAATCCCTCTACATATTTACAACGTACAAGATTGTAAAAGATGTGATGATGACAACAATATTTTTTACCAGAATGTAGAGTTTAATTTGTGAGATATTTATTTATTTATTATTATTGTTGTATGTGATTATATCTCTCCACAACTTCCTGTCTTTTGTAGCTCTTAGTAAGGTTTGTCGTGTTGTTATCTCTCCTAATCCCTGTTCTGACAACTATTTACACAAGTTCATTCTTCTTTTTCTTTTACTTCTTCATGTGTTGTGTCCCTTTAGGAAATTGGAGATCATAGCTCTCCACAATTTCCTGTCCTTTATAGCTCTTAGCAAAATTTATCATTTGTTATCTCTCCTAATCCCTGTTCTACACAAGCTCATTAGGTAGGTTATTCATTGCTTACCTTTTTACCCTCATGATACAACTTAGAAATTTCAATTTTCTCTTTCTGATTCTAAGTATAATTGCCTTTTTAGTTTCCATTTTGTCCCTAAAATTTCCTTGTTACTGAAAATTATTTATTTACTATATTATAAAAATATTCTCATGGTTTATTATAAGAATAACTTTGTTTACAAGTTTATAAAAACCGAGTCAAATAAACTGTAATGAAATATTTATTTACCACCTAAAGAAATAACTATGAAAATAAGTTTTTCTTATATGCAATGTCAGTAGCAGAGCTAGAGGTGGATGAGGTAGGGTGGTCCACTCCTTTTATAGGAGCAGCATGTTTGGCACTTCTGTATAAGCCTGTATAGGTGGTATTGAAATAAAAGTGGTTTTAATGTTGGAACATGATTCACAGTTGAAATACCTTTACAATTTCAAGTAACTTAAACTATGGCAAATGTATTTAAGCAACTATTATCTTGGCCGAACAATAAACATTATCCAGTGATGTATTCAGGTCTTTTTTATCAGTGTTAACAATCTGAAACCTGTGAATGAACCCAAGATGTGTAGGAGACACATTGTGGTTGTTATATAAATTTCAGTTATTTTCTTTGACAGTCCTCTTCCTTGAGTGGCCCCCAGCCTTGTACAGGTTAAACATCACTGTAAAATGAAAACAAAAAAAAGAAGTTTGTTTTAGGGTATATGTTGCTCTATTTTTTGTGCTCATCTTTTGTGCCTAGAGGGAGTCACTGCAATATGTTGTATTTTTGTGAGTACCAGGAGGAGGGGCAGAAAACTCAAGAGCTGCCTCAGGTGGGACACACTCAAGCTATGCAAGTGGATGAATCTGCTCATAGTGTTATGCAGCAAGTCTCTGGAAAAAGAAAAACAGGAAAATTTTGTTAGAAACAAAGAAAAGAATTCTGAACTGTTATGTAATATCAATCCTTCTATATGGCAATGAATGATGGACAGTTTTCTCATAGATGAAGATATATAGCAACAGATAAGTGGTTCTACAGATAGATGGGGAAAATACCATGAACAGAGCATTTGAGCAATGAAGAGATTTTAAAGAAAATTGAAAAAAAAAGAGCACTTATGTGATATCTGTCCTCCTATATGGTAGTGAATGCTGAACAATTTCCTCAAAGATGAAGAGACTTGAAGCAACAGAAATGTGGTTCTACAGAAGGATGCTAAGGATGCCATGAATCAGATATGTGAGCAATGATGAAGGTTTAGAGAAAATGGAAACAAAAGGGAAACTCATACTTAACATCAAGAAGAGGCAGTTGAAATTTCTGGGGCACATAATGAGGAATGAAGGCTTGGAAGATCTGTTACTCACAGGAAGGATCAAGGGCAAGAGGGACAGAGGAGAAATCACATAACATATTTGACAAAAATGGATGGTGAAACATGGTTTAGAAATACCGAAAAGACAGAATTCATTTAGAGCTACAAGGTACAAGAAATTATGGAGAGCCTTGATGGGCTACATCTTGAGGTGACAGAACACATAAAGAGAGAGAGAGATACTTAGATGCCACATACACAGAGTTGACTCATCCTCATTCCCTTCATATTCCATTGGTAAGGAGGAATTTCCACTTAGACAGCTTCTTCTCCAGAACTATTACTTTGTGGAACAGACTCCCGAGAGGATGCCTCCCTGATCATAATGGTCTTAATCTTTTCAAATCTAAGGTCAACCATTTACATTGTTTAGACTGTTGTCCTCATCTTTATTACCATATTTACAAAGTTTCAGCTGTTGTATGCTCTAGCCTTCTTCAGGGTATATATGTTGGAATAACAGCTGAAATGTTGTGAATATGACAATAAAGATGAGAACAACAGTCTGAACAATATAAATACTTACAATACCGCACCTCCTGAAATATAGACAACAAAGGTCAACCATTTTCTATCCTACATATACTCATAATATTCTTACTTCCCCCTTTACATCCTTATAACCACATTTAGCAACCCTCTACTTTGAGTGGCTTTTGTAATTTGCATTGCAAGAGCAATAGTGTCAAAATTACAAATATGCAAAGTATTCAGAAAAGTAAGCAATGTCTTCACATGTCACTGAAACATGGGTACAATTTTGAGGAGCCAATATCATTAGAGCTAATTGTGTTCAACTTTTAATCAAGTAAATAACTGGCCATTTGCTGAAGGTACTTTTAGGTGGCATGCACTAAATTATAAACAAATTAGAAAGAATTGTCAGATGAACAGAAAGTCGCATGATACACTGTATATTAATTCTATTTTTCCTATTATTATTATTATTATCATTATTATTCAAAGTTTAATTATACTTAAACCATTGAAAAGATTTCCAGCATTCACTGCTATATAGGAGGACAGATATCATATAACAGTTCAGTACTGTTTTCTTTATTTCTAATAAAGTTTTTCTATCTCTAAATGTTTAACTTTTGGAATGCATCTTTGGCTAATCCAATGTGTCTTTGGATTTCAGTGTCACACTTTCCATCC